GTTAACAATGTCCTGTTTTGGACATTAGAATTTATTTCTAAAGCCCACAAATCTCTGTTTTTAACAGACTTTCCTACAGATCTTAATTTTACCAACCCAGGATGTTCTGATTCTAGCTTTTTGAAGAGATTTGTGAGTTCATCATAATTTTGGTATCTTGGATTTTCCAGGAATTTCTCATATTCTGCACTTCTTATACTTAATGTTTCACTTAAACTAAATATCACACACACTAAAATTATTGCTTTAAGTATCATTTTAATAAAAGTTTTAGGAACTTTTACATCTGTATACTTCCGACTGTATATACTTTACCAAAGGACACAGATGTAATTTCCTCCAGCAATGAACTTAATGTGCGGAGGACAATACATAAATAAAGTAGATTAGTAGACGTCAAAATGTATTGTCGACTTGTCATTTACTGTGTATTATTTCTTGTTGAGCTGCATCTGTCTCTCTCTATCTAATGTGTTTGTTATGTTTTCCTATCTGGCATTGTGGCATTTGATAACGTGTCTATTGAACTTAATTTTACCAACTGAAACATACAAAAAAAACTAGTACAGACTTAATTTTAGAAAAAAAATATAAAAAAATAGATGTAGTTTAGACTAATATTGATAGAAAACCAGCTACGATTATATAAAAAATAAAAGTATCGAATAAATTAATTTTTTGTAGTTAAAAATACTACAATTTGGAAAGCAATTCGAAAGTTGACTTAGGGCGGGTTGTAACTCGAGTGGTTAACCTCTAGTCAATGGTCAAATGTCCAAACATCGTTGTAACTCGGTTTGACCGTGGTTAATCGACGGGTTAACCTTAGAATTTTTGATCCGCTAAACTTGATGGGTTAACCTTTGGTCAGGCCAAAGAACAATAAAATATTTTCTTAAAAACAGTGTTCCGAGCCGAGAATGCCTCCGTGGTGGTGCCGAAAAACATATCATAATTAATAATTGTGTTTAACCTCAATTTTAAGTGGTCTGTTTTTTGTTTTTATGTACATTGTAATATAATGAATTTAGAACGAGGCGATCTGCAAGAACTGCAGTTAACAGATGATGAAGACTTTTTAGAGTTACTGGAATTGGAATTGTTCCCTAGGGCTCCAAGAACATTCAGGCAGAGAGAAAATCACTTCTTGAAATGGAATCCTGAAGAATTTAGATCTAGATTTAGATTATCAAAAGAAACTGTTCAGTTTATATTGGAAGAGATTGAGGAAGACATTAGTTGTATTAAGTATGAGTAAGTTAATGCTTTATTTAACTTCTGAAGTTATAACTTATTAAACTGCTGGTTTTTAGAGTCAATACTGTAACTGCTGAAGAAAAAGTTTTACTGACTTTGAGGTTTTTGGCAACGGGATCAACATTACAAGCAGTTGGAGATTTCACAGGTAATAATAATTGCATAACAAAATGGCTTTTATATTATATGACTAATGCTTTCTCTGTAATTTTGCCATGGTCCCTAAAGTGAAATGAAGTATTACATTATTGTTAAACTTGATTAGGCTAAATATTTATTTCTTTTAGGTATTGACAAGTCTACTGCCAGTCGTATAATTAGAAAAGTTCTGAGAAGCTTAGCAAGACTTGCACCAGAGTTCATTAAAATGCCAGAGACTGAACAAGAAGTGATAAGGGTCCAAGAACAATTTTACAATATTAGTAGATTCCCTAGATGTATTGGTGCATTAGACTGCACGCATATTAAAATACAGTCTCCTGGAGGAAATAATGCTGAAATATACAGGAACAGAAAAGGCTTTTTTTCATTTAATGTGCAGGCTGTTTGTAAACCTGATCTAATTATTCAAAATGTAGTATGTAGATGGCCAGGATCAGTTCATGATTCTACCATATTTGAAAATTCACGTTTGAGAGCCCAATTTGAAAATGGAGAGTTTGGACATGCCGTTTTAGTGGGTGATACTGGATATGCCATAAAACCCTATTTAATAACACCATTGGCTAATGTACAACTTCGAGTGGAGCAGTTGTTTAATGAAAGTCAAATTAGAACCCGTAACCCTATAGAGAGATGTTTTGGAGTTCTTAAAAGAAGATTTCCAGTTTTAGCATTAGGAATAAGACTCAATATAGACAAGGTGGAAGCTCTTGTTATTGCATGTATAGTACTTCATAACATAGCACGTATGAGAAACGAACCAGACCTACCTGTTAATGAAAATATTGCAGCAGCGATAGAAGAGGCAAATAATATTAATTTGGTGATACCTGATGTTCCTCGTTTTAATATTAACAATTTGGTTAGGCATAATCTAATTACCCAATATTTTCAAAGACTTTTATAAATCTCTTATGTATCCTTGTATCATATTATATTAGTATTATTATTATAGTTATATTAGTATTATTATTGGTTTTTAGCAGAGGTGCAGAATAGAGTTAGATAGAAATATTTGGAGAAGGCCTATGTTCAACAATGGACAAATCAGGGCTGATTGATGATGATGACTACTATAAATTTTATAGTTTTGATAATGCATAATTTACAATACATTTCAAAAATATATAATTTAATACTAATACTCACTGATGCATGGATTGCAATCGAAGAAGGAATACATAAAGTATAAGCCAATATAAAATAAATTTTATTCACAATAATTTATGACAACTGTTTTTTTTGCAATTCTAAAATATCCATTTTTATACGATGTTCCTCTTTTTCCATTTTTAACTGCTGTTTGTGCCTCTCCTCCCTATGTCTTAATTCTTGTTTATTTTTTTCTTCATTGTGTTGTAATTTCTGGCGGCTTTCATCAATTATACACTTCTGCTGTATAGACAGTAAATCTTGTTTGGACTTGGCCCAATCAGTTAATTTTGATTTCAGTGTATTATCTAAAAAAAAAAACAATTTAAGGTAATGAATTATGCTATTAGTATCAAAACTTTAATCAATTTACTGTAGTTGAACTTATTTATAAGATACTTAATCCTCTAATATCATAGAGTTTTTACATGTTAGTGGTAATAGAATATTTACTACACCATATTATACTTTTAAAACAATTTACACTATTTTTAAAGATAGGACTTTTTAACATACATGTACATCACTTACTTTTTCTGGTATTATTGTCTCCTCTTAATTCTTTAGCTTTAGGAGTTCTAAGATTCTCCACAGACATTTTTGACCAGTTTTTTTCTTCTAAAAAATAAAATAATATAATATTGAAAAACATTTTTTTTTATTAACATACCTACAACAGTCTTGTCTAATTTTGTTTCCGTCACCTCCTCATCTGATTTATAAATTACTGTTAAGTCTTCCTGATTGAGTAGTTCTAAAAGTTAACTATATAATGTAATCTGAATAATAAATATTATTTTGTGTACCATACCTTCCCCCTCTGACACTGTAGATGTTGATGGGGAATATTCTTCATATTCTATTTCAACTGGAACAGAGTTACAAAATTACATTTCAATATGAGATTACATAAAAACAATATTTCAAAATTGTAAACGAGATGGCTACAAAACCAGCTTACATGAACTTGACTAGTTTTTTACTTATTTCGGATGCTAACTGATGATGTAATGGTAAACTTAGGTGGTCCCTACTTTACCTATACACACTCAATATCATCTAAATGACAGGATATGAATTTAACTAAAATTTAATGGGAGGTTGAAGGCATATTTAGAAGAAAAATTAACTTACTTTGACTATCATTGTCAAACTCTGAGGTTAAACCAGTCATTCGGGATCCAATTATCTCCCTAATTGTGGTATCCACTTCATTATCTGTGAATGGAATATTAGGACCCCCACCTGTACAATACATCATTTTTTTTGCATTTGAAAATTTCTTTACTGATCTCTTCTTAATATTTGTGTATTTATTTTTTAATACTGTCATACTTCTGTAGGTTCCCCCTCTACTACCTGCATTAAACTCTCTTTCGATTTGGGCCCATGCTTCATTTTTTTTGTAATTAATGGAGCTATCTGTTTTTTTGTTTTCTATAATAGTTGCATATTTTTTTATCAATAACAGAAGCATATTTTCTTCACTTTCTGTGAAGTTTACTGTTCTTCTATTAGCATTTGATTCTAAAAAATGAAGGTCTTAGACACAATTTTTTCATATTTAATAGTTTCTTACCCATCCTTTTTGAAAAAATATAGTGCTCTTCCAAACTTAAATAAAACAATTAACTTGCTATTATCACTAATGTACTAAATATACCTATAACTACTAAAAATCTTAATATCACTATACTGTTTAAAATTAAAAACCCCTAAAAATACAACGAATTCACTAATACTACATAAAACAAAGAAATTATAAGACAATCAACTGATTCAAAGCAGCAAAGCTATAATAAAATGTAAATATAACGAACGGTGCCGCGCCCCCGGCGGTGCTGTCAGAACAGCTTTCTGTCAAAATATCAATGTTGCCACCTTATGACGACTGGTCAATCGACCAACGTGTGTTACAACAAAATACAAGTTGACCACAGTCGGAAGGTTAAACCTTGGTCCTGTGATCACTGGGTTAAACCACTCGAGTTACAACCCACCCTTAAGTGGGTGATCGACGAACGAGCCATAATACCGCGGTTTTAAGATCGACGGTTTTACTCGCGGCTCGTTGGTGCTGATCGACTAGCGAGTAAAACAGTCGTGTCAACCGTCTACAGCCAACATATCGTGTTCAACTAAAGTTTTGTGTTACCTCGCTATAGCATACTACATCTGTTCACTTCAATGGTCGCCAAAAACTGCCGGTTTGGCTCGCCACCCCTGATACACACGCGGTTTTAAACGACGAGCCAAGTAAAAAATAAAACAAACTGACGAGCCGCGAGCCAGGCTCGTAGGTATATAAAACCGCGGTATTGCAATGATACACTGAGGAGCTTTACCGACGAGCCACAAAACCGCAGTTTTACTCGCCTGTCGATCAGGGCCTTTAAAGGTATTAACAAAGTATTAAGTTGGTATTACTACTGATGTGTCATCAATGTAATTCAAAAACATTTTAAACAATCATCGATATAATTTTGCTAGGTTATGTTCTTGTGCCAAGTATATCATAATAAATAAATTTAAATATGTTTGAATTAACAGATACACAAAGTAAATACTGTATGTAATGGTCTATTATGCTGCATAATTAACTATTTTTTTGCTTTTAGAAATCGGGGTTGGATTGTCCACATTTGGAATATTTTTTATATTTTTAGGTGTATTACTTCTTTTGGATAGGAGTTTATTAGCATTAGGAAATGTAAGTTACTTTTCATTGTTTTTATTGAAATATATTGTATTAACAATCGTACTTTTGTACAGTCAGTCAGTCTAGTAAGAGGCTAAGACCTCTACAAATATAGGAACCTATCATATCCCTCTTATATCAATGGATTGTGCTTTTTACCTTACTGATTTATGTACAATGTTTTTTATTGGGTACTCAACGGTACCATTCATGTATTTTCCATTTAATATTAAATCTTGCACAATTCAGACAAACTAATTTGTCTATAATCTCTTGTTCAGTTTTGATTTTGATTAATTAAAGTTCATTTGAGTTCACTGTCTTTGCTTTTTTACATCATTAAAAGGTGTTCTTATTTTTAACACTTTTCTGCAGCTGGTAACTGGCAGGCATTGATCTACAATAAAATATAGAACTAAATCATATGTATCAGTCTTTGATGTTTGGCAGTAAAAATATATTATCCAGTAATTACTTGTGATAAATAGATTTTCATGAAAATTTGGAATTAAGCCTTATTCTCTAAACAAATATATGTGCCTGTTTTGTGCTTCCTGTTCTTTAGAGATGAAAACTACCCATTAAACTACAAAAGGTCATCAAAACAAAAAATTAAGCTTTACAGACTGAAATATGTTTGAATGAACATAATAAATATTCTTTTATATTTGGACATATAATTTATGATGTTTATCATCTTTTCAATCTGTAAAAATAACTACTTAGGACCAAATTTGAAGAAAAAAATGATTTTAAATATTTTAATTGCGTGTTTGTAACTAATGGTAAACTTTATGTTTAAGATCTAATTTATAATTTATTTAGAAACTTTTAAACTTTAAGGACCATCCCCCATTGCAAAAACATTGTAAGAATTATACAGAATCTTTTCAATCATTAGTTGTGTTACCAATAGTGTTACCAGTGTTACCAATATAATTATGAAAATTCTAGATGTTTTGTAAGTTACAGTTTATGCTTAACTCATTATTAAATGCAGAAACAATAGACTATGTAACCTTTTTCAATTTTGGAAATGTACTGGGTCAGATACTAAATCAAAGCTTTGTGATGTAATTAACCCCGGAAACCCTGTGTTTAACAGTGATTTTAAACATGATTAACCTCGTGTAAAAAATTTGATACAATCTAACAAATGCAGGCAGAGACAACAAATGGTTAAAAAACTTTTGTTTGTAAAGAATTGTTTAGCAGTGACGCACCTAGAATTTTCCTGGGGGAGGGGTTTTGGTTGGGCACTGAAATTTTTGTTATTTTGTTATGATACCTCCATTTTGAGTCCTTAAAATTTGTGAGTAACAGTGTTGAAATAGTGCCCTGGAAGGGGCTAAAACCCCCCTGGGTGTGCCACTTTAATGTATAGATCTGGCAAAAGAGGGTATCTTAGGGTAGTATTTTAGGACCACTCCTCTAGGAGAATGATTGAGATTATAATTGGGTGTCCCATAATAAACTATTCAGATGATAAAGTGCAAAAAACATGAGTGAGCTTTTAAATGTGGCAAATTGTGCATTATCTGAATCTACAGATGAATTATTCTTTTAAAGGAAATAATAGAGTATAATATTTGGGGATTGATGTACACAGTATTTAAATTTTAAATCATATAATATTCAAATGATGTGTAATTTATTCAATTTGAATTGTAAGGCAGCTTGTAAGTTTTACATATTAAAGGTACATTATTGTGTGAATTTGGAATCATATTTAAATATGGTATATATTTATGGAGCTAGTAAGGCAATAAACATATACACATGTTCAGCACTTGGCTATTCATTTGGTAGGTATTCTAAAGTAGTCAAAAAATATTAGAAAGTCTTAAGTTGAAAGTGAGAACACTTCACAAAGGCACAAAAATATCATCCACATAGTCAGTAGAGAGAACAACATTACCACAATACCTATGAGGAAAGGGACTTATGGTCAAAGGTAAGCAATTGGAAAAATAGGTTGCTAGTTTAAGAACTTCTTTTCAGAAACAGGCTAAAACATCTACTTTACATCTTGCAATTTACATAGTAGATGACACAACACCTACTGTTTTAAGGGAACCAAAAATGTGCATTAACTATCTTTCTAAGATAATATCTCATTACAATGAGACGAGCCAAGATTGCACTGACCTAACCAACCGCCAACAGAATGCACCATGACAATCAGCAATTTAATGTCTGTGTATTCAAATTAATCTGCATGCACTTTACAGGAATGTAACACATTGACATAAGAAACCATTCTGGGGACTGCCAGGCGTTTATCAGAACTGACTTATTAGGAAAGATTATTTGCCAAGAACCAACAAACTGGGACATTTGTAAGCTGATCTTCGAAAATTTTTGGGAGATATTCCGGCATACCAGGTCACCTAAGCTCTATAACATGGAAAGAGACCCACTAGACCTCAAAATTTTTGATACCCTATGAATCTGGAATGGGTGACTTTTCGGCTTAGTGAGAGCCATATGGTTTAAATCTAGATGTATCATCTTAAACCACAATTTTAAAGGGAACTAACAATATAGTTCATCAATTTCTTGTTGTGTTTCTCTTTCTATGCTGTGCTTTGGCTATCCCATCACAATACTCTTACACTTTTCTCGATTGTTTGCTGCACAGAAAAGTTGCTCTATAGTCAGCCCGGTGCATTCTCTTTCGCAAACATGGGAGCCTTTATGACCAATCCATTTCTTGCCTTCTATTTTTCCTTGGATAATCAGGTGAGGAATATGGTATTTACTGACTATATGATATTTAGAAACTTACGACCTTTCTTTTAGCAGTTTTTTCATTGCTGGTATGTGCTTTTCAGCAAATTTTTAACATTCCTTTGTAGCACCACATCACAATTTTTTTTTTCAGGCCTCTCCTAATTCTCGTCATTTATCCCTGTTGTTTGTAAGACGTTTCCACATTGACTCTGCAGTTCTTTTAATATCGTCGCTCCATCGCATTTGCGATCTTCCTCGTGGTCTTTTGGCTTCATATGTCCGCCAATTCCTGATTTCTTTATTCCATACATCTCAAATGTCTCTATTTTATTCATTGTGTTGAGCTTTAGCATTCATGTTTCACAGCCATAAAGAAAAAGAGATCGCACATAATATTTGAGTATTCTCATTCTCGTTTGACTAATTCAGTTTTTGTTGGTAAGTGTGGGTTTCTCAATGAATGTTCTGCCTGCCATTATGATTATATCATTCTCGCTATATTTATACGTTTTTTATAGTTTATATATTTACATTATAATACTAACGTAATTTAAACATTTTATTAGCTTTTGAGTATAGATTTAAATTCTGAATTTCAATTTTTAAATACAAGTTTACACAGTTGCCATAGTTGGAAAATACCAGCCCAGATTTACTCCAAAAAATTCAACAATTGACCAGATTCATTCAATAAGACAGATATTCGAGAAAACATTAGAATTTAACATTGAAACCTATCACCTATTCGTCGACTTCAAGGCCGCATATGACAATGACAATTAATGCGTGAGTTTGGTATACCAGAAAAACTTATCCGATTAACGAGAATGACAATGTCTAACTTAAAAGGCACCGTTAGGGCTCTCGATTTTTTGGGATAAAGGATGGCCTCAGACAAGGGAATGCCCTGGCTTGCCTCCTATTTAACATTGTCGAACTTTCCCGCCGTTGATAGTTCTGGTGGCTTCTAGAAGGGCAGATGATTCTAGTCTCGAGATGCAACCGTTATATGGGCTACGTTAAATTCATGTTCGTAACAATGTATTTGAAATAAACAGCATAAAGCATAACTTCAGTACACGAAATCACATTATCAACTACAATCTGCCTGTGCATAGAGGCTTCTATCACAGAGAGGTTTCAAATATATGCATGTGTGAAGTTTTGTAATAAATTTTCGGATGCGATTAAAATAAATTGAAAATAATTGCATTAAATTTAAGAAACAGAATATAAGCCATGTTATAACAGATCTTGAACCATATTTTCAATTTGATGTCATCATATCCTTAGTCTGTAATGTATTTTCCCCAGTGTTACCCAAAATCGACTGTAATATGTAATAATTTCTGTACTTTTTATGATCTTTATCCTGTTTTTACAATACATTTTAACTGGACTATATAGATTTCTTTTTTATTTAGAGTATTTACAATATTAAGTAGAACAACGTTATATAATTTAAAGATCAATTAAAATGTTTAAAATTATTACTTGAAACTATAAAAGTATCAAAAAGTTTTAATTGTATACTTTGTTATCATAGTGATTGTTTTATTATTTTTAGATTTTATTTATATCAGGTTTGGTAGCTATCATAGGTCGACAAAGAACATTCCTCTTTTTCTTTCAACGGCACAAAGCTAAAAGGTCAATTGCCTTTTTTGGAGGAATAATATTAGTATTATTAAAATGGCCCCTGGTGGGGATGTTACTAGAATTGTATGGATTCTTTTTGTTATTCAGGTAAATTAGTTTTATATTAAACATAATTACTCTTAATGGGCAGATTTTTCACTTACTAATAATGACCAAAATAAATTTAAAATGTAATTTTCATTGCAATCAATTGTGGTTTAATCTCATATAAAATAGTATATAACAATAATGACTGTTGTGACGATTTATGATTCCATTATTGTGGAAACGCGATTCATCTGTACATATTCATCATCATCAGTGGTGCTACAGCACTAGTTGAGCCTCGACCTTCCACAATCTATTTCGCCAGTCGTTTCTGTTCATCACCAACCATTGCCAGGCTGCTGCGCCGGTATTCCTCGCGTCCTCGTCTACACCATCTCTCCATCTCAGTCTTGGTCTACCTCTACTCCTATATCCTACTGGTGCGCTAATAGGGTTCGTGTGGGTGGGTAATTTCAGTGTGTAATCATTTGATTTAACGCATCCAACACATTTAAGCCCATCTATATTTATTTTAGATATTACATCTCTACCATTAACTATTTCTTTCTTTTCGTACAATTCGGAATTATATCACCTTCTCCAAATGTCATTGTGTCAGATTGCGCCCATTATTCTGCGTAGTATCTTCCTTTCGACGACTAGTAGACGATTTGCGTCTGTTTTGGAGATGGTCCATGTTTCTGACCCATATGTATACCATACTGTTAGGATGAGTGGTTTATATATTGTTAGGTTGGTTTTTTGGATTAAATTTCTGTTTTTAGCTGCTTATTAAGTCCAAAATAACATTTGTTTGCTATCAGTACCCTTCGTTTTATTTCTTCAGATGCGTCATTATCGCTTGCTATGAGAGAACCCACATAGATAAACTTGTCTACTACTTGTGGTCTATGCTAAAGTAAAATTATAGTGGTCTATGCTAAAGTTTTGTTATGCGTTCTAGCTCTATATCTGTTATATGGCATCGACGCCAACATGTTGGTTTTTTCCTCGTTTATTTTAAGGCCCATATTTTGTGCGACCGTCAGGTAATTGGAAACCATCTCTTTAAGTCCTCATGTGGTGTTGTATAATATTTTCTTCCGATTACTCCATTACTACCAAATATTTATATACTCAGACGCGCCAAAACCAACAAACTTTTCGCAATGCCATCAAAATATGTAATGCGAACCACCAAAGCGTTCGCGTTCATTGAAAACCGACAGAAGGTGGTTCGTGAGCGCGCCGTTTGTGCGCGATTTGAAAACACGTACTAATCCTACTCCTACGAACATGCTACAAACGCGCGGCGCGCATATGTATATGCACTATATGCACCTTTATCACCAACTTATTGGTCTACGCACCTATTACCAACAGTTATATAATTTATTGTTTTCAGTGATTTTTTCCCAATTGCCATAAACTTTTTAAGGAGGATACCCATTTTGGGAACAATCTTAAATTTTCCAGGAATTAGTATGGTAAGTTTATTGGTATTTTTATTATAATTGGCTATTATTTTTAATAGTTATTCTTAATAGTAATTAACGTTACTAGTTCTGTAAACTTATAACGGTACGAATGTCGTTACAATCTTTCTGAACGTTTAACGTTCAATAATTTATTTCATACTTATCTTTTCTATCACCCTTCTATCTATCACTTCTATCTATCAACTGTTAAATTAAATTTTAACATTTTCAATTCCGAAATGTCCGAATAAATAATGATAAAATTAAAGCTTAAATGCATTCCCCGTGACGTGTGATCTTTTGTAATGTAAAACATTAAATTCTGCGTTTTTTATTCATATTTCAAATGCCTCATATTTCTTATCACAACTCAAAATTGAAATTTCATATCATAGGTTTTAAAAATTGATCTAAAAATTCAAATTTTACAACAAATAGTCAATGAAAGTAATCAATGTTATTGGTCTCACGAGAATTATAAAAAATGGTAAAAATCGCGTCATTTTTATTTATTTAACACCTGTATAAAATCTGAGTTAATTTGCAGCAAAATACAAAAACTGCATACGAAAACTGAACTATTTACCTTTAAAACGCATCTTGATTTTTGTCTATAGGACACTTGAATCAAAAGATCAAATTTTTACCGTCGAGCTGATACAAATTTTATTGAACATTGATTTCGCGCGCGTGACTGACATGCAAAATCGACGGTCGCTTCAAAAGTTGTTTCTAAAAGAACGGTTCATTCTACACAAAAATTGCTTATAAATATTTTTGTTTAAAATTATCTCAGCTACATTTTTTATTTGCAATATTTTTTTCTACGGTGTACAGATTCTTGGTAAATCAATTTTTTTTGCGTTTTAAGGGGGAAGGCCAGGGGTAAAAGTGGTAAACTTTCTTGCTTCTTTTTTGGGGTCCCAAAATTAACATTCTCTGTAAAATTTAACTTGTTCGTATGATTTTTATAAGTCAACTCTCTGACGACTTGACGAAATCTCCTCCAATTACCGGTATAGCTACTTTTGGTAGATCTGTATACTTATATGTTTTTATGTTTATAATTTAATAACTAATAAGCTTATTACCCCAGGAAACGAAACATTTTAAAATCGAAAAGTTGCTGGGCGCTAGAAAAGTTTTTCAGTTTCTTTTTCTGATAATATTTTTTTAATTCACAGCGCAATTATTGTTTATAAACTTTTTTTAATTTAAATCTTATTTTAAAGAGCAAGTATTTTTAAGAAAGTCGTATGTTAAACGTTTTCATCTACAATAGTTTTTTTATAATATTGAAATGAATGAAAAAGTAGCTTTTTTGCTTAAATGTTAATATAGTCCTTTTCCATCATATTGATAGCACATTATGTATGCAAATCCTCAACAGGTCAAAAAACCATAGGCGTCACCTTATACTTGTTTTGAAATAAATAAAAAAAATTAATATTTTAAGATGCCGTCAACAATTCATTATCTTTTAAAAAATCTTCTGTAAAAGTGTCCACTAATCTCACTATACTGTTTTGTGCGTAAAAAACGTCGGTATGTATGCCACACGATTATTGTTAATTATATACAACGCCCTTTAAGTAATGTTCGTGAAATCGTTAACATGTGTTCAAATATGACAGGGGTTGGAGAAGCAACAATTTATAGATTCCTAAAAGAAAGAAAAGGAGGAACTGTTTCATCTCCCAAGAAGAGTGGAGGGAGTAAACCCTTGGAAATTGAAGAAATACATAAAAACATGATAAGACACAACGTCCACTCATTTTTCTTTTAACAAATAATTTCCAACATTGGACAAAATTAAAACATTAATTAGAGAAAACGAAGAGTTACAATCATAAGCAACAAGAAATTATGGGGACTATTGAGAGAGATGGGATTTCGTTGGCAAAAGAATAGAAGAAAATCCGTTTTAATTGAAAAAGATTACATTGTATGTTGGAGACGAGATTATCTAAGAACTATTAAAAAGTACCGCGAAGAAGGGAAAACAATTTTTTATTTGGACGAGGCTTGGCTAAATGAAGGTCATACGGTACCATATCTGTGGGTTGATACAAATGTGAAAAGTTCCCGTCAGGCATTCATCCAAGGTAACATCAAACGGGAATAAACACTATTCCCGTTGGAAACGGACGCAGACTCATAATAACCCATATTGGTAACGAATATTGAAACGTCAATGGTGGGTTATTAAGTTTTGCTTCAAAATCAACCAAAGATTACCACGAGGAAATGACTGCTGACGTTTTTGAAGAATATTTTGAGCAAATGTTGGGTTTAATTCCAAAAAAATCTGTCATAGTCATGGATAATGCTAGTTACCATTCAAGACTAGCAGAAAAATTGCCAACAACGGCATGGAAAAAAGAAGAGATAATCGAATGGTTTAATAAACACGCAATTGAGTACAAGGAGAATTCGACAAAAAAGGAATTATTACCTATTGTAATTGATATAACCGTGATGTAATTATTTTACGTTTACCACCATACCACTGTGATCTGAATCCGATAGAAAATATATGGTCTCAAGTAAAGGGTGGAGTCGGACGCAACAACAAAACTTTTAAATTAGAAGACTTACAACAATTATTAGAACATTCTTTATCAAAAGTAACTCCAGAAAATTGGAAAAATGCTGTTAGTCATGCTCACAAGGAAGAAAATAAAATGTGGAATTTGGATAATATGACTGATGCAATGCTGGAACCGGTAATAATTAACATTGGAGTTAAAGATTCCTTAGATTCTGAAGAAAACAGTGAATCTGAAATGGAATTTGATCAAAATAATATTCATTCTTTTACAAATCAGCCCCTGTTACGGCCACAAATTATTTTATATATAACCAATAAAATAAACATCTTACATTTCTTGCAAATTCATTAGTACCTGTTAATCTCCATCACTCCGACACTGGCAACTTTATTTAGGGATTAGTAACCCTCAAAACTATGGTATTCTATTCTGCTTCAACCTTTATACCTGGTGGTCATACTCAATTTAAAATTGTTTTCCTATATACTTCTGTAAACTTGTTGACAAATATCTATTTTTCATTGAGTCACCCGTATCAACAGTTTAGGGATTTGTATACATAATGTGCTATCAATATGATGGAAATGGACTATGAAAACCATGACGCAGTAAGTGATTTTCGGCTTCATTTCCTGGGGTATATGTAAAATATTTCTAAATGAATTCTAATTGATAGTGTGTAATTTTTTGTTTTAGTTGGTGGACAAAATAACAGGAGATGCGAATAGGACTAGAGTGTAAATACATTGTTGTTTTTGTTTCTTTTTGTCAATAAAATTAATACTAAAATTATTCCTTTAGAGCTGACAATCAATGAGGATGTGTCACCGTGTAATATGTGAATAAATATAGTAAAATGAGGTTGCACTATCTAGTGTGTGATAGGGTCTCCAATAATTGTGTAATAAGATCTAGCATTATGAAAAATTATAAATATATAATTGTAACAATAAACTACTGAAAACTGTGTTTTCAAACTTCCAAAAAATTTATTTTAAACTCTTATCACTACAGCTGTTTCGGCTGATTGCCTTTCTCAAGTGATCTATTTTTAGCATGCGTTTACACTTTACAGTCTCTAATGAAATAGGTTGAGGAGGGGAGAACTGTGTGTCTCAAGTTGGGTCACAGTGGTGTGTACAAACTTAAATGTGGCTACTGTCCAAAAACTTACATCGGTCAAACTGGTAGAAAATTTAATAAACGAATAGCAGAACATAAAAGGTCTTTCAATAATAGAAAAACCGATTCTACATACGCACTTCACCTTCTAGATCACAATCATTCTTTTAACGACGAATTTAAAATTCTTCACATTCAAAATAAAGGCCTTAAGCTATCCTTGTTTGAATCTATGGAAATCAACAAATTAAAAAACACAGATATAATTCTGAATGACCAACTTGAGACAAACAGTTCTCCCTTCCTCAACCTATTTCATTAGAGACTATAAAGTGTAAACGCATGCTAAAAATATATCACATGAGAAAGGCAATCAGCCAAAACAGCTGTAGTGATAAGAGTTTAAAATAAATTTTGTGGAAGTTTGAAAACAAAGTTTTCAGTGTTTTATTGTTACATAAAATAAATTTCCATCAAGTAACGGTCGAACCCATCAAATATATAATTTGCAGTTTTCGTTTTACAAACTATATATCGGAAAATATTTTTTTATTGCTTGCATTGATGGAAAATTCCAAATTTTTGTTACTTAATATCGATATTCTTCGATAAACAGCACCAAACACTATAGTATAATAATAGTGTCTGTGTTAAACAATTTCGGTAAAATCAATCGTCTTGATCTAATTTATTTCATGTATAAGAAAGTTGAAATAAACCGGGAACAACATTTCTTTTATTTATTATAGGAAGCATTATCCGTAATTAATATGGAATCAGGTGAAAGGTTAGTGATAAATCTTCAAACCATTTTTGTAAACCATGTAGACGATGCTCATTTGAAAAAGGCCCACCCTCAATATTTCAGAAATGCGACATATTAGACTTAAGTAAGTGCCGAGAGAGGTTGATTTTTAAATTTAGTTTTGTTTTTATTATAGAAATAGCAACTTGGATGAGGTCATACATTTGTTTTTTAACAGGAAACATATATAACGACAATATGTTTTATCACGATTGCACTAAAGTTAGTAATTTTTAATAATGCAAGGTGTTTAAAGTCAATTAGTTGGCTAGTTTTAAGAAACTATGTTTAATTTTTAACAGCAGAAACAAAAGTATTGGTTATTTAAATAAAAAACAGTTTCAATAAGTGCTCAAATTGAGTTACCCTCACTTCTTGGCTTGGCAATAAACCAACTTTTGCTAGTATTCTAGAATAAAGCTGTCACTTCTAGAGCTTATACGTGGATTATCTTGTGCATCTATTAGCATGTTTAGTATTTTAGTTGTAAGGTTGGCTTACTGTAAGTGTACATCAGGGATTCCTGAGGCCCCAGATCACTCCACTTGTATAAATGAACAAATTTACCTATGGGACTTTTGGGAATTTTGAGTCCCATAGGATCGAAGTATATATCCAAAGCGCAATAATCTCTGATTCGCCATTTCCATAAACCACAATTAATACAAAAACAAAAAAATATATTATAAAGTTAGGTTAGGGTAACTTAGTCTTTTTAAACTTTATTTTGTTCCCCAAATCCTTTACTTTTAAAGTTCTTATCACCATAAATATAGCACAGTACAATTCTTTTGTATTTGATATCTCATCCAGGTTGAGGAATTTTGTCACTTGTCCTAAACGACAACTATATCAAACACACATCACTTTGGTTTAAGTAATAATGTAGTTACCTGATAGTTATTTAACACCTGTTCAAATTCTTGGTAAGTTTGAAAAGCGAACAATTGAATTTTTCAATTAAAAATATTTAAGCGAAACCAACTGCCAACAGTACCTTCAATGTAAACTAAAAAATTCCATGCTGATACAAGCGCTGAGTATTCCGTGTAAAATTATCTCAATATGTAAATTATGTTTTGATATATTTTTCATGTAAATTACCGATAGAGGGCACTACTGTGTAATGCTAGCCGTTCAGCTGAAGTTACCCTCCAGTGTATCGGTAGTCTCTGTCATTTTTTCAAATACGAGCACAAATCTTTCTTCTTGTTATTGCGTGTTTCTTACACTGAAAGAGTGGAACATACTCCAATGATGCCTCAGTGGAATTGCATCTTAACATAAATAAGTCTGTCGCTTTCATATTCATAAAAATAATGGAGACAGTGTACCCGATTATCGTTTTGGAGAAGGCCTTGATGTTTTGTTTGACAACAGGTTATCTGCAGAAATTATGACTTTAAGATACCTGAATTTAGAAGAGGGAATTTTGTTGAATTATTTTGTCGAATTGTTCGTATATATTTATAATAATGTTGAATCTGTGACACGCAGTGATAGTTATTTTGATATTTATGTATGTCAAAATTGTTGCAATTAAAAAACTTTCCTATAAATTAACAGAGTATAATTATATTATTTATAGGTTCGAGAATCTAAATACTTCATAAAATATTTAATTTGTTTAATCAATGATATATTCACTATTACAATCATTTTCATGTCATATTTTATTGTTTTACTGTGTTGTATGGTTTGTTCAGTATTTTGTAGCGTTATATCACGGCTAATTGATTGTCAGCTCATAGTTCACTAAGTACAACCGGAAAAATCTTGACTTATATTTTTATTTTATTATGTCTGATTGTTTAAGACCTTTTTAGTATTGTATTATTAAATGTTTCCCTCTCGTCATGCATCAGATAAGGTTAAATAAATTATTTTTATATAAATGTATTTTTATTACCTACTTACGACTTTGATACCTTTCACAAGGGGGCGTAAATACAATTTACACAGGCTTCAATTATGAATGGCATCACATTAGACTATTCTAAAGAAGTAAAATATCTGAAGGTGACCCTAGATCAAAAACTCATGTAGAATCTTATCCAGAGCTTTGGTGACAAGTTGGACCTGTCGCAAGATATTTAGAAAGAATTGGGCCTAAAACAGAAAATAACCCTCTGGTTATGTAAAGCAATTATTAGGCTCATGGTCACATACGCATTACTCGTATGGTAGCCAAAAATATAACAAACAACAGCTAACGCCGAGCTGCAGAATGTGCAGCGGCTAGCTTGTTTGGGAATCACAGGGGCACTATCAACATGCCCCACTGTAACTCTAGAGGCGATGCATGAACCTTCCTACCTTGCAGATCTGCATAAGGAGGGAAGCTATAACTATCGCCTTACACAAATAGTGAAACCTGGAGATCTACTTGGCCGTCTAAAAAATCTTGGAAGAAATTCCATGTGATTTGAAGGAAATTCCATAAAAAACGACCAAATGTGTGGAGAAGTTCAATCGAAACTGGAAGAAGGTTCACTCGTATGGTATAATATTGGGCCCAATTTCGGGCTATCCAAAACTCTTGAAAACGCCCCAATTATCTTTCAGGCAGACAGAAATGCTATAAACATTAGTGCCAAGCCGCCTTAAAGGCTATAAAGTCATTTACTTGAGAGTCAAAAATATCAAATCAATTTGGACATTCCAATGCACCGCACCGCACATTCCAATATTGAAGTAATATTATCGCTGTTAATCTGACGTTATTCCCACTGGATGAGGGAAACTTTGAGTATCCAGTGAAAATAAGTATTTCTGCTGTTATATCTTGCAGTTAAGTGATAGGATGTATTATACATGAAGATAACATTGAAACGGTTGGAAAGTTTGCATACCTGGGAGTAGAAATATATGCCGAAGGATCAGAAGATGGAGAAACACGGAAGAGAATAATGCAGGCAAACAGCTTATTTTGCCCTCTCCGATACATTTCGGTCTAAAAATGTCCACCGAAATACAAAGATGAGAATCTATAAAACCTTAATTCGACCAATAGCATGCTATGGCAGTGACGCATGGGTCCTATTGGGGCAAGGGGTATTCGAAATGAAAGTACTGAGCAGACTACTAGGACCTGTGAAGGAAAACGGAATTTTCAGAAGTCGATACAACAACGAGCTTTATCAACTTTATAACGAAGCACCACTGTCAGACTTCATTAGAATACAAAGATTGCAATGGGCCGGACATGTGATAAGAATGGGAGAGGATAATCTACCAAAAGTAGCACAATGCTAGAATGCAGGAAAAGAGACCGGTTGGAAAGCCAAGAAAGCGCTGAGAAGACACAGTAAACCTCGACGCACAAGCCCTTTTAGGAGTCCGTATATGGAGAAGATCAACCACAGACAAGCAATGGTGGAGGCAAAAGCAAGACTGTAGTGCCTTAGAAGAAGAAGATAAGACTTATATTGTTCAATGACAACTAGCCCAATTACTCAAGAAACCCGAGAAAAAACTCAACACATTTTACAAAATACCTATAAATAAAATAAAATAAGTATATAAAAAGTAAATTTCATCATCGCTTTGAATTATGTCTACACTTAGATGAAAAACATTTTGACCATCTTTTACATTCATCATCATAAGTTGCTCGACAATCCTTTGTGGATTGTTTGCTCACAAAGAAGTCAATTCCTGGCAACTTCTCTCCATCTTCTAACCCTTAGAATCTGTAGGTTTTCTTCCACATCATCAATCCATCTCATTCGTGGGCGTCCTCTGCTTCTTGTGCCCTTTGGTTTTGAAAATGTTAATCTTTTCGTTTATTCGTGATCTGACATCCTAGAAATGTGTCCAGCTTATCTAAGTCTCTGCACTTTAACGAATTTCGCAATATCTGGATCGGTGTATAACTGATATAGTTCAAAGTTTTATCTTCGACGCTATAGACCATTTTCATTTACGGCCCCAAAAATCTTTCTAAGAATTTTTCTCTTAACAATACCAAGAAGTCTTTCGTTGTAGATTTTGTTGTCTATGTTGTAACTTGTGAAATGTTGTGCCCATCTGTTAAGAACTGAGTTTTGATCATGTAGAATTTCACTATTAGTGTCTTTACAGATGTTTAATCGTGGTTTAAATTATTTTACGTTAAAACATATTTTTAAGAATTTTTTGTTTTCTTTTTTTTTTTTAATATTTCATTTTCGTAATACTTCTCTCTCCTGATGCCGACCATAATGTAGCTTCGCCTATTTTTTTAAAAAATTTAAGTGTTCAGCCTTGTATAGTGTAGTGTAATGTAGAATTTTATGTTTATGACATTCTATAATTGTTGGATGGGCCAAAATTGACGAAATGTCCCTGAAGATGCTCTAGGAAGCGAAAGTACTTCGGCAAAATTTAATTAATTAAACTGTGCTCGAGATCTGACTTTCATTTGATCAAAGTTCATTTTATTTTCGTATTGACAAAACAAATAGTGTGTTTTAATCTTGTAAAAATGGTCTTACCGACGGAATCACAAGATGCAGCATTTCGTTTGAAATAAAGAAGTTGCGATTACTTCTCAAGTGCAGGAGTAAAATTACAAAAGCCGTCTTAAAATGGGACAAGCTTTAAATAAAAATCGACGTATATAAAGAATTTTGCAAGAAAAATTTTGATTGAATTAATTTCAATTAAATAAGAAATACCCATTGTAATATTATTTAATTTGGATCAAATTCATATTTTTTTATAATACATCATAATATAATTATACCCTTTCACTTGATAATTACTACCAATTGGTGATTGATTATTCAGATTTAGGTAACTTCAGTGAGAAATTGGTCTATAGTCTATGGGATTTTCCAGTTAACGAATTCATTTAGTGTGTGTGATTAGATATAATTCAAATCAATTTAAAAATTAGTGCAAAGGTCAATCAACTCTTCATAATTATTAATAAAAATAAACAAGATAGCATTAACCAACGGTCACATAAAATTAAACTTTTTTCGTTTATTAAAAACTATTGGTACACTGCTACCCTAGGTGCTCATTTGTGTTGGACCTATTAATACTAATCATCAGTAAGGGTTAATTAACGTGGATGGATATTTCCTCTGCTATTTTAGAAAGCTATTGAGAAAATGCTTTAGAAGTATTTGAATTATTTTTAGTGATAACTAGTTTTTTATTATTATTAAAAACAATAATAAATAATCACTGATTAGAATACGATAGTAAAATCACCTACTTGAGCAATAATTAGAAATGCCAAAAAAAGCATGGATAATGAAGAGAAATAAGGAAATAGAAAAATGTACAGAAAACATGATCTTTTTAACACCCTATAAGTTATGGACTTCAAAAGTAAGAGATTGCTTAAATTTTTTGTGAGGATTGTCAGAATAGGATAAAGCTTATTCCTTATTCCAGGAAAATTAATCAGATGGAGCTGGATATTTAAAAAAATCCATCAGATTTTGCTGACATTAATGACTCTAACACTAGGAAAGATAAAGAAGACATAAGATGTGAGATGATTGAGAGGCAGAGTCGGGCTTCCAACATAATTGTCTGTAACGTGAATGAATCAAAAAGTAAAACGCAAGCAGGGCGTGTTCAGACAGTTCTTTTAGAATTAAAACGAATAATCAAAACGATCGAAAATATCTACCAAAACAACACAATAAAAGTAAAAATAAAAGAACTAATCGATCCTATTGAACCTGGCAGGGGGGTAACACAGATATTCCCTGAGTCCTCTATTCTTCAACCTAATTATGGATGTAATAATAAAAAAAGTAAAGATGATTTACAACGTATGCTGTATCAATTAATTATAACCGCCAGAAAATTTAACATGTTAATTATTCTAAAAAAGAAAATGCATGGTTTCTTCTTCTTCAAGTTCCACTCCTATCGAAGATTGGAGATCATTCTGGCAATTATAATTTTGTTGGTTACGCGCCTGAATAGTTCAATTGAACTGCATCCAAACCATTCATGGAGATTGCGTATTCACGAGATTTTACGTCTTCCTACGCTTCTTCTTCCTTTGATTTTACCCTGCAATATATTTCTTAGTAGTTCGTATTTTTCACGTCTCATGATTTGCCCCAAGTATTCCAATTTCCTGATTTCTATGGAATTTAAAACTTTGCATTGTTTTCCTGTTTGTTCGAGAACTTGTTTGTTTGTTTTGCGATCTATCCATGATATTTTCAAAATACGTCGGTGACACCACATTTCGAATGCTTCTAGGATTTTAGTGTTGGATTTTTTAAGTGTCCAATCTTCAACCCCATACAAAAGGGTAGAGAAAATATAACATTGAAGCATTCTTATCCGGAGCGATAAATTGATATCGCGATTACAAAAAAGTTTTCTCATTCTATTAAAAGTTGACCATGCAATTTCAATGCGACATCTTATTTCTTTTGTCTGATCAGTATCTTCTGTGATCCATGCTCCAAGGTATTTGTACGAAGATATATATTCAATTGGTTGCATGGTTTACTAAGATGTAAATTGGAGCTGGAAAGTCTCATAATAGAACAAGTGATGGAGTTTAAAAATCTAGGCATCACATTATCAAGCTACGAAAAGCTCGAAACTGAAGTGAAAGATCAAGTGAATAAAGCAAATAGAGCTGCAGGTTCCCTGAATGAAACAATATTACAATACAACATTACAAAACAGTTATCAGAACAATAATGACATATACGGCAGAAACACGACCTGAAATAGAGAGGACAAAAAGGATGTTAGAACCAGTAGAGATGAAAACACTTGAGACACAACATGAGACAGAGCTAGAAGTAGACATATACGACGTAGATGCAAGGTAGAGAACATCAAGAACTGGGTAAGAGATATAAGAGTAGAATGGAACGACCATATGACAAATGACAACAAATAGAGTAGTAAAGACGGCAAGAGACAGTTTCCTAATAGGAATACGATTAGTAGGAAGACCTCGAAAACGATGGAACGACAACTTACTGGAGGCACATTGAAAAACAGACAGAATCATGTCTACATAAAAAAAGAAAAAGAAGAAGAAAAAATTTCTTTTAGCTATGCTCATAGCTAACAAATCCTTAGAAGAGTTACACTACTCTTGCTAGTTGGCATATCGAGAGCAAGTCATGATTCTTCTACGATCTTTCCCTTCTCAGAAAAGGTCAATAGCTTGTTTATGTCAATAGTTGTTTTGTCTATATACTAACCCCTCACTTCAAAAAATAGATATAATTTTCTAGTTTTCGATCTCATCATTAGAGAAAATTTAAGCTCATATACGAATATCGCAAAGGTTACTTCACTTGTGTACCAGCCTTCGAGTGAAGCAAGTCAACTTGGCAGCAAGTCGTTTATTCAGATTATTTCTTGTAACTGTCCTACTAATTTCGGCTGTTTATTATTAATAATTATTATAATAATTATTACAGAGTTGGATGTCACTTCTGTTTGCCATTGTGTCTTGTATCTTGCATATTGCATCTTGTATCTTACAACCTGCCGTTAGTTAGATACATATATCCTACTGCTACATATGGCTTTCCGTTGCGTTAGCTAGATACTATCCTGCTGCTGTGTTACCTATGAGACGGTGCTTATTTCTGTTGGCTCAACCTCTTAATTGTTTATTGTCGCAAGTCTACAATAATTACCGCATCTTTACCTGAGGATATACTTCTCAGAAGTGTGCCAATAGTTTGAACCTGTAAGTACATTTTGTTTCTTTCCTTTATTCGACCCAAAAGCCGAGAGTTACAAGCAGAGACGCTAAATTCTCTTGTAAATGATTTATAACCTTTCAATACTTTATTGTGACAAAGGACAATTCATATTATAAGGACGGTCAAATTATTTCTGAATAATGTATATGTACATACTTATCTGTTTTATGTACCTGTATTTAAATACCATTAGCGTTTAGTGTTTAAAAAATATATGATGGTCTTCCTTCAAAAATAGAGTGGTATATTTTACTCAAAAGTTTCTTCTCTTACGTGTTCCCTTAGCTTGAAGTCTAACTCTGTCGAACCCCGACCAAGACACATCTACCAGACTAAAGCCCATACCGTAGTGTCCTTATTTTTGTAGCTGTATTGACAAAGATTAGAGCATTTTTTATCTTCCATTAGGCATACTTCTCCCCGTCCCAACCGTGGTAGCTATTTTAATTTGTTACCTAATTAAGTGGAATTTATTTCACTATAACCTCTAGATTACAAATTCTTAGGAATTTTAAATAAAAAATGCTCTCTTTCCTGGTAATTATTTTTATCTTAATGGCAATTAAAATAGATCACTTGAAAAAATGGAAGTAAACAATTAAACTCGAAAAATAATTAGCGTTCTGTTAAAAAATAACAAAATTGTTTTTTAAAAATATTTTTTATTTTGATAACATAATCAGTTTATGCCAGTTCAAAAAATATACCAAAATTTTTATGGGTATATTTTTACCTCCAGCAGTGGAGAAGTGAACACTGGAATCACTCGTATATCGCATATATAAGCTCCGATAACATTTAACCTCCGATCTCAACCCATTTTGGTTCATATAATTGTTATCTCTTTTATAATTGTAAGTTCAGATACAATTAATTCATTTAGTGAAGTTTCATCTTCGCAACAGAATCAGTGTTCGCATTCTGAAATATTAAAAGCGTTTTTTTCTGTGTTGTTATTGGACAAACAGCTGCCTGCATGTTTTTTCTAGAAGAATATTACAACAAATTTTTAAATTTACCACCATCCTTTCATTTCCAAGCTGCTTTTTCTGATAAGGAAATTTTCAATTTGGAAGCAGATTTTACAAGTAAGTTTGCCATTTGTTATTTAGTATTTTAGTAATTATGGTTAGGTACTATTATGCAATATACATAAGTATAATATATAACAATATTACAATATCAGAATAATAGATATAATAATACACATTCTATAAAACTAATTAAATAGTTCGAGACAGTAACTAAAAGTATTTAATATTTAAATATTCTTTTACACTTTTCTTCCATTTTTTACGTTATCTTTTTTTTTTCAGTAGATTTTCCATTTAGCATTATTTCATTTTATTATTCATATGTGTGGCATTATTTCCATTTATCTTTTCTTGTTTAGAAACCCGTTTCCATTTTCTGAAACCTTCCTCTATCGACTGCTACGCGAAATAATTCTTTTACTTTGAAACCACTGCCTATTATTACGCAGGCACGAAAGTTTCTTTAGACCAATCCTCTTTCCTTCCACTTTTCACTAACATCTTCTTTGAAAGTGTGCGAAACCCACCCATATTTTAGGATCCGTCTATAGCACAATAAATTCTTTTAATTTGTTCAACATTAAGGTTTTTATTGATTATGCCTCACAACCATATATTAGGATGTGTGTGTGATTTGTTTTATGGCACTGGAACTAAGCCAATTAGCCAGTTCAATAGGATAGACCACGCATAACCTTCCAGGACCTTCTCACGAATATGCATCGACATGTTTCTATTATATAAAAATGGTTTCCAGGTCATAAAAGCTTTGACACTGCACTCCTCACGTCAGGACCACACAGAGAGCATGGACAATTGTCTGTATTCGAAAGAGCCCAAAATTATGTAGACAGACTCATTAGGTGGTGCAATAAATGGAGAGTGACCATAAATCCCTCCGAAACACAATTAATTTTATTTAAATCCTCAAATTGTCGCGATGTTCATGGCAGAATGACTCTCAACGGGAAAACCGACATTCAATATACCCTTGACAGGGTGAGAAAGACGTTTAAACTCCTGGTAGTGCTAGCCGGCAAAATGGACAAGACGTCATCTAAAACATTATTGCACACTTATAAAACCTTTATTATACCTATTATTGAATACAAGGCTTGCATCGACGCCAAAATCCTTAGATTCTGCATGAGGCAGTGCAGTCATTATCCATCACTATATATATATATATATATATATATATATATATATATATATATATATATAATATATATATATATATATATATATATATTAGCCAATATAACACCTATTAAGGACATAATCCTATCCCTCAGCAGAAGTTATGTCTTCGAACCCTCACAGGCTCGAACCCTCATCCTTCGAACCATCACAGGCTCGAGCAATCGAGCAAAACAAATATTAAAGACGCCTTGCAATGGTCGACGGCAAATACTCACCAGGTTTCCTCAAAGAAAAGTTCTGTTCTCTCCAGCTAAGCTTCTACACAACGCTGGACACGAACTTCCTGATGAGTATTTTGATATTCTAGAAACGCTCCCCATTACCCATTAAATATCGTAGCTAACAACTCCATGCCAAAAATGCTGATTAAGAGCCGTTCCTGGTATGGCTGGTAACCCCTGAAGTGCCTCCTTCGACATGTAGTGCCTCCTTTAATCCTGGTTATTATCTCTTCATCAGAGTCACAATTTACATTTAAACAGCTAGTAAGGTGTTGAAAATGATTTACAGCTTTATATTCTGTCCTCTAGAGTTTGATAGCACAGCATCTCATTATAAATTCAAAAATGTGTCCGAAGAACTAGAAGGTCCTTCAAAAAATTAAAACGACTTTTACACATTTACACATTTCTTCATTAGAAATGTGTCTTTACTCGCTATTTTTCGTTATATCCTCTCTGTATTATGAGATTTACGTAGCTGATACAATAGGTTCAAGCGATTAAACGAAACGAAGGATTTGCCGATTCAATGCCGGGAAATTGAGTATCAATGTGTGGAAAATTAAATTTTATTATAGTAATCGTAATCAAGTTAGTAAAAATAGGTTTTACGTCACAACTGTATATATGGGTTTGACAGTTGAAATGTGTACCTAGTATGAGATATTGCCAAAAATACTCTCTTCTAAGGATTCATCAATTTTTTACTGGAAATATTTTTAAATTTTTAAATTCTTTAATTTTCTGAAATTTTTAAATTTCAAATTTACTGTTTAAACAATCAAAACGTCAAATTCATTATTTTGACAATAACTTAAAAACTTGTTTATTTAGAGATTGTATATCAGCAGACAACTTAAAAAAAAAAGATAGACAAAATTAAAATGGGTTAATAAACAAAAACGTTACTGCAAAATGAACAACAAAATCGCTGTTTTTGAATATTGTTAATAACATTTTTATTGTTTATTAAAATTTATTAAAAAGGAACTTAACTTTTCGGTGTATCTGAACGGTTGACCAGAAATTTAATTCACTGTAAATTTTCTGAAAAAGTTGTCATGAGAAATCTCTAAATAGAATCTCTAAAGAGAAATATAAGTTTTTAAGTTATGGGGAAATAATCAGTTTGGCGTTTTGATTTTTTATTTAAGATGAAAGTCATTTTTGTAATATTTCATACTTCACATATCCTGAAATAAATCTCAACTTAATTGGCCTATATTAATATGTAATTCAATTAGAAATATCTCGAGAACTAAAGGTAACTGAATTATGAAAAATGGAATGAAGGAGTTTTGAAGAATGAACTGTTTCATCAATGAAGATATTTTCATCTATTTACTACTTCCAGTAATACCAAAAGTTGCTTTTAACTTCGTTTTTTTTGGAGCACCCTATATATTTTTTAATTTTAAAATATTTACATTATTTTGAACATTTTTTGTTAATACTTCCTTATACTTATTGTAAACCGTGTTTGAGTTATAATGATTTATTTTCTTACGCTTTTCTACCATGTATATAGAGTTCAAAATCCTCTAATGTAATTTGAATTAAAAGCTTAAATTCCCTAGGAACTTATTAACCACACACAGCATTATCTTCTACAGTGTAAAGTTGCTTCATTATACAGAGTGCTGTCAAAATTGGCATAAAACCGGCATCCTAAATTTTCGCCTTAATTCCTTTTTTCAAATAGGACACCCTGTATGTGATTCATTATTTTTAAAAAATATGTTTTTCATCATCGATCTGTATTAGTATTCCCTATACCTATCTTTTGCAATTTTTAAATAAATTAACTTTATGCATTTTTGTCACAAAAAATTTATTTATCAAGTAATCTATGGAATTCTTCTTCTTCGCGTACCATATCAGAATTATTCGACGTTGGCAATCACTGCGAAGGCTACTCGATCTCCTGCAATTTGGAACAATTGTCCTGCATTTGGTATCCGAGTCTCTGGCCTCTGGCATTGACGGCGATGTTTTCCCAACAACCCTATTGCGGGGCCTCGGATATCATCGTAGCCTGGAGGAGCCCTGCATAACCGAGGCTGAAATGCGGTTCTGCCCACCTTCTAGGACCGAGGTATGTTTCGAACGTTTGAACCACCCTCCCTCATAAAAGAAGAAAAAAAAAAGAGAGCGATTCAAGTTAGAGGAATAATCTTCCACAAAAGCCTGTCGCAAATTGGTAATATTTTTATCAACCCAACATTTTGAAAGTGTGCTCTTCGTTTAACTAGGTTTTATCTAAATAATAAATTGTCTCTAAACTAAACTAATAAATAAGCCTCCAGCCGGAAACTTTTAATTGTTCCTAAATATCTGCTTCGTCAACAAACAATATACCTAAACTTTGTCTAGAAGTAAAGCTCTTTTGTTACATTTTTCCCACCAAAAAAATCCATCATTAACAATAGACAGTACAGGCATTCAACAAAAAAATTTACTTCAGTGCAGATAACATATTGTGTTAATTTGCTTAGATACAAATCCAATATAGATTCAACATCAAACACAAAAATAGGGTATAATTAGAAGTACGGCGGTGTTATAGAAATATTATCATATTAGGCAGTTATCGATTGACCTCATATGCGATTTGACACTAATTTTAAATAATTAATACGAAAAGCAACAACGTAAACACACTGCGAACTGTAACATAACTTTAACAGATAATATTTAACAGATATTACAGTAATTTTTGTATAGAAACAAACTTTTATAGAATCCCTCGTTTTATCATCATTAATTGACCTGTTCCATTTTCATAAATTAATCTTTTTTTAATTATTTTGTATATATTTAGAACCTTAGAACCTATTTAATACTTATTGAAAAATTTAAACGGCGTATCTAGGTCACATCATGCGAAATGAAAAATACCAGTTCCTCCAACTTATAATCGAGGGTAAAATTGAAGGCAAGAAAGGAATGGGACGCAAGAAAATGTCCTGGCTCCGAAACATAAGGCAATGGATAGGGATTAACGACATACAATCTCTGATACATATTGCAAGAAATAGAGAATTAATGGAAAATGTGATCGCTAACATCCATTAGTGGATTTGCGGAACGTCCCGCATGTTCCGCAAAAATGCACTTTTAATACTATCGGATTTATTTGGTAATTAAAGTGATACAAGAATCTGCATTATATTTGCAACGTAAAAATATTTATAAAAATTAAAAGAATTTCTGTATTAATAATTCACATTTATGAAAGATAATAGATTTAGAATAACAGAAAATTTTAAAATGTTTTCGACGATTCTTTTTGATTAATTGCGATGCATGCATGGTATGCAAAAAATTGTTTTGGTTTATGTGTTCCTAATAAACCGCCACCTAACATTACGGCGACACCATCGAATGAACAAGGGATTCTTAAAGAGCAAAATGGCATTTACTAACCAATAGAAGGTTTCTTAAAAAAAAAAGAGTTTTAGGAGGGAACAAGTATGTCACGCTTAGTACTGTGGTCATGTACATAAATTTATTACTCGAATACCACGACAAAAAAATATTAAAAATTAATACCGAATATCAAATACTACAATAAAACAAATTAGGTGTACTATATTTCTTTAGTAATCGATCCTCGCTCCAAATTGGAAG